TCTTCACAGACACTAACGCTCTTTGTTTTGGGAAACCCACCTACAAAACTGAGGCCTGTGAAGCTATTCTGTTATTTCACGCTTGTTTCTAGTTAAAATGTTGCTGATTTGCGGGGAGCAGCTGTAGGTAATTAATTGGTGCATTTCCGTCACAATTTGCTGTGCAAATTTGCCTATTTTTGTACTATTCTGTCAGTAGAAAACAGATGACAATAGTAGCAAATATGATGCTTTTTATTTTCCTAGTTACAATTAGCATAAAAGGATCATTATTTTTCCACGGTGATCTTTAGAGGAGCATGATATAGCGTGTGATTAAGAGAAAATCAAACTAAGACAAACTTCACTGACTCGCTATCAGGCAGCTGTTAAAGAGTCTTTTCCTATACCTGAGCCTTAAGTTCAGCTTAAAGATTGATTGGATTCTTCCCGATTTATTTTGTCACGTGAGATTTCTAATTCTATCCCCCTATCCCTCCTCCTTTTTGGTTGTGGTCATTTCAAACTTTTATTTCTATTCATCTACTGTAACATTCTGTTTTATCTATTGTTTTATTGGGCAATTTCCCAACTCTCCCCTTACTCAGGAACTGCAGCCTGTAATAAGCGCAATCAAGGCTGTTCATTCTGACAAATGTATGTCAGGAAAAGACTGCTATGACTTGGAAATACTCAAAGTGACTGGTAACATAATGTGTGARGCAGAATAAATCCATACAAATGGAAGTAATAGCTGAGTAGTCAAAGTAGGAGCTAAACACGGTGCGGCAGCTCTGTGCTGAGAGCTCCCCGTGCAAGCGGCTCCAATGGCAAATTACTAAATGCACTTTGCAAAGTGTTTTATGAATCAAGTGGCAAGCCCAGTTTTGCCTTAATCAGATCATCCTTCTTGTTTCGCACTTAGTCATAAAGCGGGATGAAGTTTCCATTTCCATGTTTAAGTATAAAAACGTAGGCTCGGGAAATGCAGCCACAACAACTGCCAAGCACCAYGGAGAAGGGTGTCTCAATCCTACCCCTCCACTGGAAATTCAAACGAGGAAAGATCTTTAGGAAGAGCTGCTGGGCGAGACTCCTCCTAGCTCCGTTGCCATCAGATTTAATACCGAGCAGTTTTCAACCCTGCAGCCACGCACTCGCTGCCTCTATAAAACTTTAAAACACGTGAAATTCAGCTTACAGCTAACATTTGAAGCAACATTGTTGATATGGGTTGGACTGAATTTACTGGGAGGGGATTTTCACGTCAGATGGCTCAGAAACTTGGAATCTATCCCTCCATCTCCCATGTAATTTTAGTTATGCGATCTAAGGGTTTAAAAATTCCAGAACTCTACTTAAATTCAGGAGTCTGCCTCAAGTTTAGCAATTCTTTGAATCGTATTATTCGAACCTTGYATGAAGGTGAACACCCTGGGCACAGCCTCGCTCCTGCAGCAAAACCTGCTCGGAGCGCAGGGGGGCTCATCAGGACGCTGTGAAAGGTCCATTCCCCGAGTACAATCCCTGGCGTYTCCCTCGGGCTCCAGGCACAGGGCCTGCTTCCCCCACCTCCTTTCCAGGGACACAAACACAGGGACAGGGCTCACTGCTGAAGACCCTGTTTGGCCATTTCCACTTCTGAATATAGGAAAATGGCATCTTATTCTGCATTCACAGCACTTGCTGCCTGGGGCTTGGTTTCAGCCCCCCAAATTTTTTCTTAGGAAAGGTCTCAGATATTGTTTAGGGTTTTTTTTTCCAATGCTTTCAGTTGGCTACTCCTCTCTTCCAATAAACTCTGCTCACAGCAAAGCTATTTTTTGATTTTGTACTTGGRGCACTGCAACTTTTCTCATGCACCGTTCGCCCTCTCCACAGCACGCAGAAGGTCCAAAGCTCTTTTGCAATCCCCCAACCTTGTATTTCCCAGAGTCTTGAGAGACTGATGCCGAATACGGCTTCAGTTTCTGTGCTGGGTCTGGAATGGATTTTTTTTTTTTTTTTTTTTTTTTTTAAAGAAATTACATGAAACACGTGCATGTTTATCACATTCTCCACCAGTGTTTCACGACATCCAAACCCGCGCTGCAGAATTTGAGCCCTTGCAAGCAAGCAGGAACATCCAACACTCTCTCTCGAGGCACGTGCCTGCCCAAGCCTCCGCACACGATGTCTTCAGCCCCTGCAGAGCAGCACAACAGGCRCCCCGAACGCACAAAATGTCCAGCAATCCCCAAGGCTGGAGCCTGAGCACAGTATTACCCCGGCTCTAATTCATGCCCCGTGGCCCTGGGGAGAAGGGGTGAGCTTTTACACTTCTCTACTGCCTTTTTTTTCCCCCTCTCTGTTTCAATGGGAATTCCCTGCCTGCCCAGAAAACGTAATGAAAAGTCTTAACCTCCTGGCCCTGCTTCCCGCACTGAGACCRAAATCTCCTGTAATCTTGCCAGACCTTTCACAGCTGCACCCCAGGGATTTCACACTCTGCAGCTTACGGGTTTCCCTGAAATTCATAAAAGAGAAGCCTTGTATTTTCACACAGATGTATTTATTTGGGGCAAGACCAAGAAATGCCAATATATTTCAAAGTGATTCYGCACCGCATTAAAGCGTGTGAAATATTCATGCGAACATTTGCTAATCCCACCCAGCAGAGTCTCCTTCCCTCTCTATTTAGCATGCAGCCTGCAGCAGCTGAGGGTTGTTCAGCCTTTTCATTAKGGAGAAAAGCAAGGATGGTTTGTAAAAACCATATGGAAGTAATMATAAGAAACAGCACTGAAGGGCTTTTAGCAAATCTACCTTATAAGCACGCATCCTCTTTCGCGTGTTTGTTCCTAAAATGGTGCTTGAGAGATTCCAAGTGCAAATTTATATTTATGGGTGTAATTAAAAGTGCAATATGATCAGCCATCATAACACAGAAATAAAAATTAGTTTAAAGGCAGCGCTCACGTTTTCTGACTATACATCTCAGCCCCCCCCAGCAACCCAGCATGACTCTGAGCACATTCTCCTTTTGATCCCTGTCTAACGTAGCGAGTTGTTTTCTCCTCARGTCTTTCCTGTGGCTAAGTCTTTCCATTTCCTTGTGGGACAACGGGCTCAGGAATGATCCCTCTCTGCATTCACCTGAGCCCTCGTAATTGCAGCAGGAAATGAAAATGAAGAAGTCCGAGTGCCGACAATCCTCCATTCCAGGATGGGAAAACACCTGACCTTGGAAACCGCCTTATGCCAGGGGAAAAGACATTTACTTTCCACTGAGAAAAGCTAATATTTAACCAGCGCATCGGAGATTCTCAGATAAAAAGAGTTATACACGTGCCAGTTTTTATGCTTCTTTCTGCTTCRCTGTACCTCCAAAATATAACATCTTGAAACACTGCCATTTTATGAGAAAATAAAACTGTTCTTGGAAATGCCAGAGCTGCAGAGACCACTGGTGCAGCAGTGAAGACCACTGAAGGCAGTGGCCAGAAAAAGCCACAAGGAAGCCTTTCCTGGTGCTGAATACTGCCGTGCCCACCAAATACTGCAAGTGCAGCAACTACACCAGCGATGTCAGGACAGCTCCYAGGGTGGTCTGGATACACCTACCGGGACCCTGCTGGCAATCTGGGAGGCAGGAGGATGAGGAGAGCTGAGCTGTATTGCCAGGAGCCCTGTCTGTCACTTGGTGGTCTCCATATAGTTAGCATTGCACAAGTGGCCTGGGAAACTCCTCTTGGTCTTCAAACTTTGCAGCTCTAACTTACCTTAATTCACAGACTTACTCATGACCTGAAGACAACAGYTTAACACCTTGAACAGCATCTGAGGTGCTCCTCGGTTTTGTACATGAAATGGGAACAGGACAGAGCCAGAGAGACTTAGCAGAGCCCGACGGGTCACRGTCAGGATATCAAAGTATTCAGTGAGTAATTCCCTATACTGCTAATCCCCATCTTTTATGTAAATCATACATATGGTTCATCGAAATAAAACTCATCATTGATTCTGTGAACTTCTGACTTATGTTACTGCTATCTCAGCACAAAATTCAGTCAAATCTTGCCCAGCAAATAACCAATTCGAACAATTTAGGTCTTCTCCACGTAAACAAGATGGAAGAGCAGAGAACCATGTCTCTGATTGTGCTTGTCAAGCTACTCGTTTACCAACTTTTCCCCTATCTTACACTGTGATTTTAAGGCAAAGGCATCAGTCTGAAGGAGGTACATTTGTACAAGGATGATTCACACACACTATTTCAACCATACACAGTATGTTCAGCACAAGTGTAAAATTAAGTTTTCACAAAATTCTACATAAAAAATCAGAAAAGAGGCTAAGAGAATAAAAAAGGATCAGAAAGAAAGGATCACGAGATTAACACAAATCTTTCCCTAAGAAGATCAGACCACAGAAATGACACTTTAAACATGTTTGATGTCTTATCACATGTCGCCTGTGTTAGGAACTAGGAATCGATTCTCGAGTCAAGTATCCAGTGCTGAGATGACAAAATGGATACTACTCAGTTAGAATTTCTGATCTGAGAAGCACCGTACCAGAAGTATCTCTGAAGATCTCCCTTTTGTAGCTCAAGGTATTGATTAGTATTGGCATGAGCATCTAAAATTTTGGGTACAAATAAAGGTCTCCACAAKGCAAGTCTGCTTTTCTTTGGTTTTAGACAAGGCTTCTGTAAAAGGGAGAGTTGATTCAGGACATACCTTTGAAGCAAACACCTCAGTTCCTTTCTTATTTTCCTCCTAACTAGGTTTGGTCTATCTCATTCATGTTTTCCAAGAGGAACAAGAAGAGTTCATAAAAAAGTCTCCCCAAAGTATTTCCAATGCAGTTTCTAGGGAAATTAATGATCCCGTAATCTCCGAGGAAACGAATGCCTGTCTCAAAAATCAGGAAGCTGAGAGTGAGCACAAGATGGTTTTCCCTTACAGAAAGCTTGAAATAAAGAGAAAGGTTCCATATCTGAGAGGGATGATGGCATTTCTCCTCGTCCGAGCCCTTACCTTTGGGAGAAGACATCCCGGTAGGGGCTGCCGTGCTGCAGAGCGATTCCGTACCCTCTGTCCGCCACCGTGTTCCCCACCGTATAGAAGGAGCAGTCGGCGTCGTTGATGGCCACGTACTCCAGCACCGCCGCATCCCACACGAAGGCGTAGTTCCCGTGCTTCACCTGCAGCACAAAGGAGGACAGCTCAGGCCATCGGCACTCACGGTCCTCCACGAGGACCTCATGCACCTGGATGTGTTAGAACATCGCTGGTCTCTGTTTATGGAGAAGAGTAATTGCTGATGCCCTGGAGTTCTCAACAGAAAAAATGCATCAGGAGCAACACCACTTGGTGCTTTTGCTTAGCTCCTCATTGGAAACACAGGGAATTTAAGGTGATTTGAGAGCAACCTGCTGTTGGAGAAAGAGCACTGTGCAGAAATCTTGTACTAGTCCCATTCTGGAAATCAAGGGGCACACTGGGCACCTTTATTTAATATCAAGTTCAAATAAACAAACAGAACCCAGGAAGTTAATTCTCTGAACTATTACAACAAGTATTTACAGGAAAAATGATGTGATTCTGTGGGACATACATGAATGGGTGTTGGGAAAAGGTGTGCATCTTCAAAGACTTCTGTTGCATATGAACTGCATGTTAAGTCATTCTAATTGTGTAATTAAATAAATTCAAACCAACTCACTATATTCAAGGGCTGACAAAGTCACATTTTACTATCTGTTAACATTTGAAACAAATCCTTTTTTTAAAAAATATCTACCTAAAATTTCAGAAGTTGTATAGAAACAAGCTTTTTAAAAAAGAAATCCAGTACAAATGAATCTTTTCATATTTTGATGAATTTTCATTCTCCAATCACAGAATTTTTCTAGAAAAAAAAATCTCTAAYCTCCTCTACTGGATATGTAACCACTTTCCTGTTTTGTTGGTGTCTCTCTTGGGCCTGAGCAATCGCACTGCTCGTTTCCTGACCCTCTGCCTGGCTTCACTCAGTGTTTTCTCTATGCCATATTAGCCAACCATGCTGTAAAACCAGGCTGAACCCATTGACTTTGCACATCTAATGGGAATAAATATGTGACAGCTTAGTGAAAAGTAAACAGAACACAAAAAGGCCATCTGGGGCCACGCAACCCAAGGAGAATGCAAAACCAAGGCAGCACATCAGAATCAGCAGTGTCAGTACATCATTTAGATTAGGCTTTGACAACGTGGACGATGTTTTTAAAGAGTGCTTACAYACAAAAGCCACTGAAGCAAGCCAGGGCAGACGGGCTGCAGTGCCCAGGCCCTGGTGCCGCGTTGGGGACACGTTCTGCTTCACGCGCAGTCAGGCTGACGCAGACACCGCGGGCCAGCCAAGGCAAAACCTCCCACCGGCATTTTTGGACACCGTTGAGGAAGGATTGGTGCAGCCCGTGTAATAGAGGGGCAGACACAGGGTCTGGTGATTCGGGATGATTGGCAGGATGTAAAAAATCCTTTTCAAAATAGACATGGATGAGGGATGGGGTCGGTTTTCATCTTTAGGCCCTGAAACGGTCAGTGATGGTTTTCCACCTCCAAGTGGAGTCTTAGATCTCTCCAAGCGGCCAGGGAATGAGGGACAGAGGCAGATTCCTCACAAACAAGCCCCACAACCTGCATATTCATCTGGCAGAAGCTACAACCTACAGAGCTGCTCCTTGCTTGGGTTAGTGCCTGGGCACTTAATGATAACGACTTTTGTCCTAACTCACCCTTCTACCTTCCTATTACAACGAAGGCACCAAAGTAGAGAGACTCATTCACGGGTCAGGAAAAGTCCTCTAGATTTGGCTGCCTTGCTGTAAAACRGCTCACAGTGAGAATACATCAAGGCAGCAAAAGCACTTGCTGTCAATAACACCTGTGATGAAGTGATGTCTCCGCCAGCCTCAGAGCAGCCCCAGCAATGCCAGGGCTCAGGTTCCCACAGACCTAACTGCTCACAGACAGACCAGGGTGACTCTCAGCTGAAGTGCAGGGCCAGGAAAGAGAAACTGAGGAGTCAGATGGGATCCTCCTAAACAAACATCTCCCTCCAACACAAGGTTGTCCTATGCCACAGTCCCCTTCCGTTTCAGCAGTTTCTCCTTACGCCTCTACACGTCTATGAAATGTAAAACCATGGTGCAAACCCACTCGTCATCCTTGTATCACTTTATGGAACTGTACCTCCATCTAAATAGGTCTTCACTGTTATTCAACAAATTTATTTTCACTCCTCCTTTATTTTATAACTTTATTCTGTCACTCCTTGCTAACGCAGTTTTAAATACTCTCCCGTTGGGGCTGACCCCATTCAACTGTTGCTGAACTTTGCTGATAGTTAGCCAAGCTAGAAATAGGCAGTGTAGCCTTCTTTAATCTGTCTCTGCAAATCTAGCATCTCAGCCTCCCAAAAGCAGCGATACTACTTTTGAACTTTCTCCAATTAGTAATTTTTTTACATGGGGGAAAAAAAACTGCCTTCCTAAGAGAGAATCCAAGTTGCTTGGCAGCACAGGAGGGATCTGATTCCGGTTTTAGTGCACATTTCTTTTGAARTCTATGCCCTAAGCCTTCAATCTCCCTGTCCATGCATCTTTTCACACAGCTGAGGGCTGGTTTTAACCTAAAGATCTCACTTGGGCCTCAAAACGAACAAGAAAAAATCTAGCTCTGCCTTGCGAGAACAAGCCAAGGCACTATCCTTGCTACAGCAGTCAACTAGAGAGACTAAATGAAAGAAAAACCTCTCTGGAAAAAGGAAAAGCTCTTTCCAACACACGTAATTCACGCCTCAGAGAAGACCTGCATCCCTGATGTTAGGTTCCCAGAAACTCGGTCATTTTGCATTGTGATAACCCCATTGCAGGGTGACGGCGCATCCGGATGCGGATCACACGCTCCCATGCGGCACSAGAGCACGAGGTGCTGCTGGGAGGGCAGCCTGTTGCCCTGCAGCAGCAACCCCAGCTCTCCAGTCAAGCAGGGTACAGGGGACGGGAACTTCAACCCCTGCCCGTGGCACCCACCTGTCTGCGAGACAGAGGCTAAAAAAGACGTGGGAGCACCTGATGCCTGCTCACATTAAAATATATATATATGCATACATMTACACATAAACATATATATTTTAGAAGTGTGCGTGTGTATATATATATATATAAATAAACAAAACTGAATCTGTTTTTGTCCTTCAGGATGTTTTGAACTCGCGCACTATGCTGGAAACTAGGAGGTGTGTTGGCAGGCAAAAATGTTTGACTTCACTTTACACTCTTGTGAACTCTGAGGCATCAACACACAGATAATAAAAGTATACTTATAAGGCCCCGCACTACTGCAAATTTTGGAGAATATTATTTGCTGAAGCCTTGGTCATAAACAGTAGTTAAAAAATATTCTTTGTAAGGCCACCAAAACCAAACGGCTTGGTGGCATTTGCAGGGAAGCTTTCTCCGGCAGAAGGCAATGGAGACGCCCTCACCTCCATAATCCTCTTGCAAAAGGCCAATGAAGTTGCTACTTATTGGACCGAAGCACAAGTCAGAGCCTCTGCCTTCAGAGAGACTCCACTTTGCTGATTTATTTCCTTCGGAGACCAAGATTTCAAACCCTGGTTTTCCTCACAAAGGGAACATCTCTGAACATTTTCTATCAGGATCCTACTTGACTAAAACCCTTCATTTCAGTTTGCTGGACAAAACTAAACCCAGGAACTCCGAGGACAGAGCCCCAATCTCCGCACAGAGGTTCCYCTCTGCCTACAGCCCGCACAGTCACTTCTGTTTGCACAAGGTTATCCCACTGTTGTAATATTCGTTTCACATGCTCGTGAACGTGGAATGAAATGCATGCCACAGCCTCCTACGTTTTTAATAATGTTTTATAAAATTATCTCCTTTCTTAGGCAKTTTCAATTACTGCAATATTCCAGTKGAAAAAATCCTAATGACAGCTCTGCTTTACTTGATCTATGCTTACAGGCATCTAAAAAAATATAAACTCATATAAATACAATCATAAATACAACAAGCAATTGTATTTCAGACTTTGCTCTGAATTTCCCATTTAGTCATCATGACAACTTAAGTCTCATTACATTTTGCCTCAGCCTTGCTGGTTCAAACTCGGAGAAAAACATGCTGGGAAATCTCATCAGACGATAAACAAGAATAGTTATTTGATAAGGAAACAGGTCAATTAGCCGGTCATTTCTAACTTAATCTCTTAATCTGAATGCGATGCACATACCTTGTGTCACTGGCATGCTTGTGGCAAAACATAACTGAGTCCAATTCAAGCACTTGTTCTTGTCCTACTACATAAACAAACGTAGCAACGCATCTTTGAGATAAGAAATAAGAAAAAATGGAGTTAAAATATTTGTGCTGTGAAAAAACTAGAGGTTCTTTTTCTCTTTTTAAGATAAAAAAAAAAAACAGAATGCAGTAAAACACTTTGGTTGCCATGATTCAATGCAATCAGATGACTTTCCTCCTTAAAACGAGGCAGCATTTGACCTGGAATTTGCACAAGCAGCCTGGGAGTACTTGTAAATCAGGCCTCAGAGCACAAAGCAAGCTACGCACCCAGCTCATCGTGTCGACCCGTGAAGTACATGGTACCATTTCAACAGCCAGCACTAAACAGCAGGGAAGGAGCATGAAAAACACAACCAATAGCGTCATAAAATCATCTCAACGACGCTCTAGCGCTTCACCGACGTGCAGCAGATTTGGCCAGTAACTACATGGACTTTGCTTGAAAAAATGCCACTGCCTTCTAGCCTCATTCCACATCTTCTCAATTTTGTCACTTTGCCTTTTCCTAAAATCAATACAAAATCAATCAGAATCTAAGCAGATTTTCTATTTCTTCTTATATATTTATGCCCTACAGGTAGCTCCCCTTCTCAGATACCTTAAAAGAGTAATTTGTCTCTTGGCAGAGCCACGCTACGGGCAGTGCAGCACGCTGGGCACGCACACATACTGACCGCTGTTCAGAGCTGCAGCTTTTCTCTCGTTTTGGAAGGATCAGGGAGAAGTCGCAATTCCTCACGGCACGAAGGAAGGCGGGAGCTGCCAGCAGAGCCTGACTGCAGGAACAAGGGATAGGGATAAGCAAAGGGATAAGACACTCAGCCCCACAA